GCCTGCGGAGGTCGGCGGGGGTCCGCGCCGTTTCGGCACGGGGAAGGCCGCATCCCGTTCCTCTTTTTTTTTCCCCTTCCAGAAGCGACGGTCGAATCGGCAAGTCAAGCGGAAGAAATACACCGAAGATTTGGACATCAAGATCACCGATGATGAGGAGGACGAAGAGTTGGATGTGACGGGACCGGTTCGAACCGAGCAGCTCCCGGTGCCGCAACCCCCCGCGCCGGAACCGGAGCCGGAGGGCGAGACGTTGCCCTCCATGCAATTTTTTGTGGTGAGGCTTTTGGTTTTCGGATGCTCTTCGTGCCGTTCACCGCGGTCTTCCTCGCCTTTCTCCAATCCCTTCCCATCATCACCTTCCTCTTTCCTCCAGGAAAACCCCAGCGAGGAGGACGCGGCCATCGTGGACAAGGTCCTCTCCATGAGGGTGGTGAAAAAAGAGGTGAGGAACCTCCGCGGCGCTGGCGGCGGGAGGTCTTTCGCCGGCGTTTTGCCGGCGTTTTGCCCACGCTGACGTCCTCACCTGGTTCTCCTCAGCTTCCGTCGGGGCAGTTCACCGAATCGGAGGAGTTTTTCGTCAAATACAAGAACTAGTAGGTGGCCGGATGAGGTGGGATCAAGGTGGGGGTTGTCCTCTGAGGTCACCGGGCCCCCACCGCCCATCGGTGGCCTCCTGGTTGGACCACGACGTTGGGTCGAGCTCTACAAACCCAACGGAGGGAGGCGCGGGTGGGCCAACTCCAACGGGGTGGACCTCCGAGAAGGGATTTTTTTGCGCGCCGCCGTTGCGCCGACCCCAAAAAGCTTCGGCGGGGGCGGGGCGGGTGGCTTTGTCGCGCGTGCGTGCCGGTTTTGTCCCCGCCCCCAGCTCCTACCTCCACTGCGAGTGGGCCACCATCGACCAGTTGGAGAAGGACAAGAGGATCCACCAGAAGCTGAAGAGGTTCAAGACGAAGATGACGCAGATGCGACACTTCTTCCACGAGGTGCTGGGGGGT